CATTCTTACGGACTCACAGTATGGCTTCCGAAAAAACTGGTCGACGGAAACAGCTCTCCTAACACTGAAGGAATACATATTACAGAGCTTTGAACATAACTGCCATACAGCTGGTCTATTTATCGAGTTTAGTATATCTTTCGACTGTCTTGATCACGGGATTCTGTTTCACAAAATTTCCCTATGTGGATTTCATGGAAGACCGAAATCAGTGTGTCTACATCCATAACCACAAATCATCCTATTTACCTGTTCTATGTGGTGTGCCCCAAGATAGTATTCTTGGACCACTTTTGTTTAATGTATTTGTTAATGACATGGTAAGTATAGTCGATGATGCGAAATTTATCATGTACGCAGATGATTGCACATTGTGTGTGTCAGGCCCTGATTTCAACAAACTTGTCGAAAGAAGCAATGAACTTATTTATGCTCAGTTTGTCGAATTGGACTCAGGCAAACACGCTAAGGGTAAATTCAAAGAAAACAAAAGTTATCGTATTTTGCGCTAAAGATAAACCCCTCGTCATTCATGATGATATTTACTTTCAGAATCAACGTATTGAGTTGGTGGAATAATTGAAAATTCTTGGAGTATATTTTTCTTCTGGTTTACGTCAAAATACTCACATCAATTATCTTTGCGGTAAGCTATCTGCGGTTACCGGTGCTATGGCGTGCTGCCGCGCATTCTTGCCTGTGGGGGCAAAGCTGCAAATTTATTACGCTCTGTTCCTGTCATATGTCCACTACTGTTACTTTGACTGGGCAACAACTTCAAAATGCAACATGCAAAAACGTGTAACAGTACAAAAGAAAATTGTACGCCATATTGAAAATGTTGATCGACTTTCAGCCACACGTGGTATATTTATCAAACACAAATTACACCGCCTTGACAGGCTGTATGAATGTAGATTATTAGAAAAAATTTATTTCTCATAGCAAAATGTTAAAAGTTACTTCACGTCACTCGCTAAGTTAGAACCGCACAACAACACGAAACACACACGCAACCCTGAAGTGTGGAAGGTGCCTTGGTCCCGGAACAACAACAGCCTGCAATCACTAACTCATAATATTACAACCATACTCAACCGATACAAACACACAACCGCAATAATAAAAAAAAACATCTGCGCAACCACTTTTTATCTTTATAATAACGCATTACCCTTCATTCTTGTATAAAGTACCATTGTTACATTTTACGCACACGTGTGACGTATGCTGATCTGTATATATAATACTTTCCATGTGAATGTCATGTAAAAACTTTTGTTGACATGTGCTATTGCCATGTAAGGGACCCTGGACATTCGACAAGCTGCTGAGACAGCCTTTTGCCCAGGTGTCCCTCCAGATTGTTTTCTGGTAAATAATATTCAATTGAATTAAAACCTAAAACGCCCCCCCCCCCCCACCTTCCAACAAAAAAAAATTGGCAGGTCTCACGTACAGTAGGAATCGATTATATGCGAAGCAAGATTGAGAAATGATGATATGTCACTTTAATATCAGCACAACCTTACGAGGTAGAATACATGACCTTTGTGTCATGAGTATCATGTTTGGATGTGTCGTTTACATTCGTCATCTATTCACGTCACGTGACACCAAATTTAGTATGTGTGGAGCTAGCGAAATACCCACGAGCACGCTGTGAGCGTGGTATGTTGTCATGTTCTTACGTGACACCCGTGTCAAGATTATCACGTTTGCACCAGTCATATATTTCGTCATCCATTGACGTCACGTAGCACCGAATTTGGTATATGTGGAGCTAGCAAAACGGCCGCGAGCGCATCATGAAGGACCCAATATACTCGAATGTAGCGTTGACGCGCGCACACGCTGGGCACAGCGACGCTACGTTAGCGAAACGCGAGCACTCTATCGTCTGATGGCAGGCGTGACCGGCGAGGCCCAATGGCACACAGTGCGAAATGCGACGTGCTGCATTTCGCGCCGATGCGTTACCCAGACACTGCGTCTCCCTCTTTTTGTGACGGAGGGACGCAGGACGTGCTTAAACGCGCATGCGCCAAAGCAACGCAGCGTGGCGCGGGCCTGCATGCCAGTATATATATATAGCAGGAATGGCGCCAGGCGCAGCAACGTATACGCCGCCGTGACGCAACGAAATGAACGCCGGTAAGCACGCGCACCGCGTCACGTTGAAATGTATTGGCGCCTTGACTGTGGCATGTAGTCATGTTGTCACATGACAGGCATCTCTTGATTATCATGTTCTTCCTAGTGACATACCTTCATCATCCATTGACGTTACGTAATACCAAATTTGGCATATATGAAGCTAGCGAAACGGCCGCGAGCGCATCATGAGCGTGGCGTGTAGTCATGTTGTTACATGACACGCATTTCATGATTTTTATGTTAGGGTCTGTCGCTTGTGTTTTCCATGCAATCATACCATAACAAATTTGCAACATGCCATGTGAACGAAACCACCGCAAAAGCTGCAGGACCATGAACGGTAAATCATGACATACATCTCATGACTTTCATGTTATGACTAGTCAAACATGTTCTTAATTCTCTCAAGTTATCCCATACCAAGTTTGGTATAAATACCATTACCGAAACGGCCATGAGAGCTAAAAGTCGTGGGCGGCTAGATAGATAGATAGATAGATAGATAGATAGATAGATAGATAGATAGATAGATAGATAGATAGATAGATAGATAGAAAGATAGATAGATAGATAGATAGATAGGCGCCCAAGTTCGCTTAGAAATGCTCCGCATTTAAAATTTCTGCCAGCGTCCCTTGTGTGTTCTTCGTCGTACCGGTAAAAGCACCTTCCTTGAAACTGAGCTCTTTGACAACGATGACCACCATCCATAGAGATCGGCACCAGTACCATATATATCTAAAGGATATGCAGGTAAACAAATGTTGATTGTTCACGTCTCTATAGCATCATCATCATCGAGGCCTTTGCTCGCAACAACGCTACAACGACGTCGTCAATTTTTTTTTCTTTCACAGGTTGAGACACCCCAAAAGGGCAATTTTTCGTTTCGATATTTTGTATTGTCAATTACCATTGGTTGGCGAACTCCTTAATGATTCGAATCGCTCAGACTCAGATTGAGACGTGGGTTTGAGTGAGTTCCACTTCTTCTTTTCTTTTTTTTTACCGACCTGCGCTATCAACGCTCTTCACACATCGGAGACAGGCAACACGTCTATAATATTTTACTTTGATTTTATAGCCTTCGCCGGACAGCCTCTGCAAACCCACCCGACCACAATAGATACACATCCCGATAAGTCAACGCAGTTCACTGGGTTCGTGAAATCTGTCTCTTCACGCAGAAATCGCTGTCGAAGTTTCTGGACAACAATTGACTCATGGTTTTTTATTTGAACGATGGACGTATGACAGCAAACCGACAGATGTCTAGCCTCGACGCATGACTTGGGATGACACGTAACTGTGAATACGCCCCCTCGATACATATTCCGGAATTGCTGTTTTAAGATAACGTTATTAAAATATACATTGAGCGCATTCCCAAGAACTACGACACTATATTTAGGATTCTAGATGTTCGTTATCTTCTCAGGAGAAACCTCCGGAAAATATTTGAAATTCATGCCAGTACTTTTTTGGTTAGTTCAAGGAGAATGTGAAGTTCCCACTTCTGAAAAAAAAGAAAAATAAAGTTCCCACTGAAACATCACGGATAGCACAACAACATTTACCTGCTGCCATAACTTATAAAATAGCTTTTAATCAGAAAGTGGGCTGATTACCAGCTCGGGCCTGAAAAGGATTCGAGAAGCACTAAAAACGCCAGGTCATCAACGCAACAACTTCTTTTTACCAACTGCAGCAGCTTTGCTTTATGCAAACGTTGAACGACAAAATAGTTTACAGAATCTTTACACGCTTTAAGGTCACTGGACTCATTTCAGCTGACACCTGTAGCTGAATAGGACACTGTCCTACTGATTAACACAATTGAAAACTATTACTCTCACATTCAGCCCACAAATCGAAAACGATTATCCCTTCATTAACTTAGACCATCTCGTTTATTTGCAGTATGGTACAGTTTATATAAAGTGCACTTTCTTCTGCCTGATATCGGACGCTTTCACATGACATTTTGAAAACATTTTAGAAATACAATTTTTTATAGAATTATCTCTCAGATACCGAACACCGTCCTTGTAGCAAAATTGGAACTGTCGTCTTGCCGGAGTTCGTAAATGTATTTTGTTGCCAAAACATCTACCAAGGAATAACGACGTGGTTTTCTTGGTATTTGGAGAATGTTAGCTGCTATGAAGAGACTACGACAGCAAGCATCAAACAAGGGTGACACCTCCGGAAAACACAAGCACAAGTGTTGAACTTTTCTTTTTCACTGAATGTTGTCTTTTGTTTCATGTGCGCTGCTGTGTTCCGTCACGACTAAACAACAAACTGGCCCATACTTTTTCGCAAGTTAGCTCCTCTTGTGCTAAATACATTGATTACCGAAGCAACGGTGCTTCACGTTCTCCCCTTAATTTTTCCCGTTACGCTAATAAATACTTGAGCTTTATATCTTTTGAAGTCATTCACCCCCCACCCCCCCTGTACTCGTTTATTTGAGGCAATAAGTTTCATTACTGAAGAAACTTTTACTTCTACAACGTGATCCTAATGTGAGCGCAGAGCAACAACGCAATTTATTACCCGTTGTTCTTTGGCCTCCAAGAAGGTCAACCACATCGGAATGAAATCACAGAGGACACAATTGCGTTAAATTCAGAAGAACATGTAGAATATATTTTTTCTCGATTTTGTTTTTACTAGTAATATAACTTTTTAAAATATAAAGATAAGTTACATCAATAGGTTTTGAATCCTAAACTAATAGGTTTCCTGAAACATTCCTAAAACGCCAACTCGAAACCGAAACTAGTGTCTCGTGCTACTCCAAAACACGCAGCAGCATCGACACAAAGAAAATGGCGCTCTCCAGTGCTTCCGTGCGACGCGGTGTATCTGTGCTACACTCGCGTTCTTCTTGTTTGTGAAATGAACTCAAACATGATGGAACGAGACGGCTTCACTGTAGTGAAACGGCGAGGGAAATCGCGGGTAACACAGGGTAAGCAGTTACCCGCCGTGCATAAAAAAGAAGACGACGAAGGGCTTGAAGAAAGTTCTGTGCTACGGCGCATCAAAGAAGCGGAAGCCGACATCCAATCGTCGGCGTACTTCGAAAACTTCCTCAACGTGCTTTCGAAGTGCGTGAACGTGTTACCCGGCGATAATAAAGCTGCGCAACGTAGTCTGCTACGGCCTTGGGAACTTGTCCGCGTGCGTCAATGCTCGATACCAGCTCGCGCTGCTCGTCTGTATTCAGAAACACCTGAATCCTGTTTCGGTGGAAATCTACGATCCTGTTTTCACCGAGAGTGAGCGTAAGATACTGACGTCGCTCGGTTTGACCGTGCTGCTTCTCAACGACGAGGGAAAGCGCGCGGTTCAGGATCGGACACTCTTCTACATGCCGCACTGTGGCACGCCGCTTTACAACAACGTGTTGTGGGCCAACTGGGACCCCAATGTGCTGGGCGATGTGGTCGTGTTCGGAAACAGCTTCGACACTATGTGGACCAACAAACTGGACTCTACGCTTCGCAAGAAGTGTGGTTTCTTGGTCAACGTGCGACCCGCAGTGCGCGAGTTCGCGGTCGCGAAACGACTTCAAGTATTCGGACATCTTCAACGACCTCTCGTTGCACGCATTCGACGCGACTCTGTTGCAAGCGGATGTGTGGAGTTCGAGGGAAGAACCCGTGTACGACGGTGAAGACGAGATCATCTTGGCTTTCGATGAAAAGTGTAGAATATGAGTGCGTTACACTGGTGCCACACGGCTGCTCTCGATCGCAATTGAGCTCGAACTGGATCGACTTTCCCGACCGCGGTTGTTCCTCAAATGAACCAATCCACGTGGCAACCGTGTTGCACTCGTGAGGCTACCGTAAGTATAAATAATGACCATTTCACCCATCGAAGTAAACTGGTTTCATTTCACTTGTGTTGCTTCATTCATTTGGCGCGCCACACCAAACGGCGTTTTTTATTAAGTGATGCAGTGAATGTTGAAGCAAATTAGAGAACTGCATTCTGTTCTAGCAAGTTTACAGTACACCATAGAAACTTTTTTTTTAACCCGGGGAGAACTACAAGACGCCGCTTCCGTGGCTTTCTTGCATAGCAATTGATTAGAATCGCGGTTTCACTATCGGCAAAAACCGATACAAGAAACCAAACCTATCGCTTGGTGTTACCGATTTTTGGTCATTGATGGAATCTGGTGACTGAGAAATACATTTTACTGCATAGGTTTGACGTACGGAGTCTCGCAGAATCGATGTCTGTTTACCAACCATGTATCCCACTTTTTTTCCCGCTTGTGTTACAATTTACGCCGGTATTACGAGTCATCCGCGCCGACAACGCGTATCACAAGGCCAGCGACTAGACGAGGCATCAAGCTAGTGACGATGTTTCTCACAAGTGTGTAACAATTCCAAGTGACCTTTTATTTATTCATCCTTTAATTACGGTATCAATGTTATTCAAGCGCTTCTCAGGGTCCCGCTTTTTCAAGGCCACACCGCAGCCTCCTCCACAGGGTTAACCTACGCGCCCGTAGCACTACTGCTGTGCCCTCCTCCACCCGACGCGCAGAGAGAGATTAATGAAAGAGGAAGAGACAAAAAGGACGCTATTTTCTGCCTCCCGTCGCGGGGGCACGGCTCAGCGCCAAGACGCGCAGTTCTGTCATGTGGCCTGCTCGTACTCTTTCCCGCCCTCTCCCCGAGCTCGCGGCGTGCGTCATCGTCTAGGGCAAAGGCCGCTAGGTGGCTGACGCTGTTATCGTCAGAGCGCCGCCGTGCCTGCACCGTCGTCGCGTCGTTCTAGTACACTCTACTTGCGGGAAGCGATGTGTCTTCGTGTTCAGTGACGAACGCTGTGAGCTTCGGGGCGCCCGCCACTTGCAGCCATGCGCTAGCGGACCAGATCGTCGAAGCCTTTTCCTTATTTTTTCACCCAAAATTTAGCTTTCGTCCCCTTCCCGCAACCGCTCGGTGGAAGTGTATTCGAGTGCCCCGTAAAGCAGCCAAGCCTAGCGCCGGCCAACTCCCCGCCGCTCCGCAGCAGGATGGTGCCCCCACGGACGGCTCCTTCTAAATTATTCGGTGTTTCGTTTGTGAGTCGCAAAATCTCCTCGCGGTCGTGCAGTGACGCTCCTGTGCACAGAATGGATAACGCCAGCTTACGACCCTCCACCGCAAGCCTGCTAAGGATTTCCGCCTGCTTCTTCTTGCTATTGGTGAGTGATGACAGAATGTGTTGCCCGATTTCGTCTCTAGGCCTAATTTGGGTTGTCGCACGACTGTTGTGACTGTTCACGTTTCGGTGTCTTGTGGCGAGGTACGTGCGCTTTCGGGAGTTGATAAGTCGCATGAGCGTTGCACGGCGCGCTGTCGCTGCTTCCGTAGCAAATGGCACGACTTGCAGTGATGATAGGCGATAGTCGTTCGCGACGTCCGTCGTTTCTACGTTGCGACAGTTGCGAGGTTGGTCCTCTGTGCCTGCTGTCTGGCTCACGCTGTAAACACCGTTTCCTTTATTAGTGCACGGGCTTGCAGAATGTTTCGGTTGATCTCTGTAAAATGCGCCGACTGTGCAACATAGAACTGGTCTGTAAAGCTGTTAAGCACTGTTTAGCTACAAGACAGCATGTATTCTGCCATGCAAGGGACAAGGATTTCTCAATTGATGTTCATTAAGCTGCTTAGTGGTTTGTAAAAGTACCGTGAGTGCCGATTTTTGCTGCGATTCGAACGCGCGAATTGCTCTCGACGAGGCCATATAATCTTGTAGGGCTTGCCACTGCAGCAATGATTCACTCACGATCGATGGGTGCTTAATTTGCTTGACACGTCTCGATGAAAATTGTTTGTGTAGTTAACACTGTCGGGTCGACGACCGTAAACCCACTTTTGCCAGATTTATTTACAACTCGGCAGGCCGTACCAGTGTTTAGCGTAACCCGAAGGCACCCGCATCTTCTTTTATATTTATTGGAGAATTAATTTCGCTTTGACAGAGCGCGAAGCATCCGAAAGCGAATTACAGTCATGGATGGATTTAGGTTGCGTTCACTTAGAGGGAATTTTTAATGTAGGAAACACGCATGGAATAACAAGTCGAATGCTGTAATAAATACCCGTGGAGTGAGAGAACAAAAAAAAGAACGTCGGTTACAGGACAATTTTGCGTCCGAAGGGCTCGCTTACGTGGGAGATTGCCCCATATTGCCTTGGCGCTTGTAGATCTTTTTTTTTTTTTTTTCAGTGATCGAGCGTGGGGTAGTTGATGAACTGGATAAAGTTTCTTTGGATGATATCGTGCACCTTTGCTGAGTTATACAATTGGAAATTTTCCTCGCCGAAAAAGACCAGCATGTCGTGCAAGCTGGCCCGATTTTCCTCATTTCGAGCGTCGGTGGCGTCAGTGGGCCATTCATCCAATCTGGGTCGTTGCTTTCTGAGCGACCGTACCTGTAAGCTCGTCTGCTTTCTGAAAAAAAAAAAAAAAATGCTTTGCTGTGAACGTCTCTTTGTGGGTACTTCGAGGTAGGGAATAACACTGGATCTACGCACAGTTTTGTGAGTTTATTGTTGGATGCCGGAAAGTTGCAAAAACGTTAACCTAATTGACACTGTGCAAAACACTGTAAGTTGGCTTTCCAACCAGAATCTGTTTTCAAATGAAAGCTCTAGTTCGGAGAACCTTTCTAAAGCGCTGAGCGCGTTCACCTTCCACATTCCAGCGGGCGTCAGTGAGGCTTTTTCACAGATCGCTGCGTGCATGAATGTCGCGCCTCATCGCAAGTTTCTCTCTACATGTGGAGGAATGTAGTCTGTTCTGTCGTGGGCGTTGTTTGTTTGGGAATCATGCTTCATGCGCAGTAAATATTACGCAGACTATTAACTATAGTGGCTAGAAAGAACCTTTCTATTCACTATACTATCAACTGCTGCCATCACCGATCCACTGCGCCTAACGAACTTTGCTGGGCGGAATACCTACGTAGGGTGTGAGCAACTTGTCGGGAGTCGCACTTCCGGAGCTTCTCGCGAAGCCACAGCAACACGTTGCCTTTTGCTTACATTTGTAAATCACGAGGGCAGGCCACTTCCCGTCTGTGCGTGATTCCGTTCTCGGGGGGACACTGCAGAGACAATTTGATTTAGATTGACAGACTGCACTCTGAGAGCTCGAACACCACATTTCATCAGTATCCTAAGTTTATTATTAGCGGGTGAAATCAAGGTTAAAATTTCATTTATGAATTTCGCGTCGAAATCTGCGCGTGCGACGTAGAAAATTTCGAAGCGTATGTATTGTATTTTCGTGACATTCGCTCTATGAAATTTTCCTAAAACTTCGCATGCTGTGTATGTGGCACCCGCAGATGACAGTGTGCTTCATTTTTCTTTAGTGATTAGATGCTACTTTGGACACTGTAGACACCTTCAAAATTTATGACGTCGTGGTGTTTAGCGCGGGAATCTCGAGGTGGCGTCTGCACCCGCATTAATTAATTTTCGGGTCTTTTCTCGCTTACCAACCGTCCTGTCGCAGTAATAGTGGCGTTTTCGAGATTGCGAAATTGTACTTCACTGATGCGCGAAAAAAAAAAATCGTTTTGTTCTGCGTGCCTTGAAGCGCAGTCGACGTCTTTCCCAGAGTGACACAGCCAACTGTCATCATTATATTGTTGTGGTGTCGCGAAAGAAAGTCCGTATCAGGCGTAACGGTGCTCGCCAGAAGGTAGTGGGTTCGAACCCAGTCGCGGAGGAGGCGAAATCGATGAGGTTCGTGTGTACTGTGCGAAGGCAGTGCACGTTAATTGAAAGAACACCAGGTGGTCGAAATTTCCGCAGCCCTTCACTGCGGCGTTCCTCCTTATCATGTATCGTGGTTTTGGGACGTCAAGTCGCAACAATTATTAATGTTTACGTAGCGGAAAATGCATGAAAGCCAAAATGGAACTCTTTAATGTCGGTGAGGGTGGAAATGTCGCACATGACGTGAAGAGCGTATGACTGAATGGCGGAAGGCGCTAGCCTCTTCACCCATTGAACTGTTAAAAAAGTACTGACATTAAAATCTTGCTTTTTGGCGTGTGTGCCGAATGTAGGGCCAAGCATTCAAGATCACAGAAAATGTACTGGTAAGCCTGGGTGCAGATTGAAGAAGTCATTGCAGTATGTTTTTTTTTTTTGAAAGCTAGTTTTGGTTCCTGCTATATTCTGACGTCACGACATGGCTATGAGCTTTTAGTGACACGCTCGCGCGAGATATGGCGACGTTTCCTCTGCCGCTCCGTCGGTAGCGCACAGGCGGCCATTTTGTGCGTGTTGGTACCTGGCGTCATCTCAACTAGCCGTACTTGTTTCGTGGAGTGACGAGCATTGACGCTGTACCCTGACGTCACCACAGCGAAGACGTCGGTAAGTGCGCCTTGCGAGAATCGACTCTGTAACGTCACGGTAAAATGTCTTCTCAGCATTTGCTGAGCTTCACAGTTTGTGAAAGGCCTCTCTTTAATCGGATTTCGACGGCACAGTAAACCCAGCTTCGAAAACCGGTACCAGTGGAACTGCTGCCATGGTATCCGGAGCTGTTTATGATAGCTATGGAAACGTAGTAAGGATTCAAACGAGGATAATGCGAAACTCCATCGCGTTATGTGCAAGGTATCCGAGTTCAGATACCGTTCTTTCTCCGGCTCATAGTAAATGTAATATCCGCGATCCGATGACGCGCGTGGCGATGCGACATCGAGCCGAGTCAATAGGCGGGAGGAAACGCCAGTCGGCCAATCACCAGCCGTAGTAGCTGCTTACGTAAAGGAGTTACGCGGGCCGCGCTGTTGCAACGCGGCCGGTTCGGCTTGCGAGTCAAGGCCTACGATTGATCCGCCAGTCCAACTTTGATCTCGGATTTGCAGAAGCTAATACGATTCACTTGCTCGCGTGCAGAGCGCCATTGAAATTCGCGAGGGATAGAAAAAAGGAGGTCGAGTCAAGATCCGTGTGCTTCGCCTCCGGGACTGGAAAACTTCGTGGCACCCACTCTCGTGCAGCTAATCTACAAATTTCAAGAACGTGGCGGGACCGACGAGCGTGGGATTGGAAGTACCTGCAGACCTCACTCCCGTTCGCGTTAGTTTAGACTGGACGGCTGGGGTACGACGACAAGATATAAAAGATGCGTTAATTCTGCGCGACATCGTTGTTTACCGGTGTATTTGTGTACGGTGTTCACGGCGAATGCGGGACCTCGGCACGTGGAAGGTTCAACGAGGGAGCAAGAACACCTGCGACACTATAAACATGATTCAATATTCGTTGCAGGGAACGAAACAGGGTTGTCCAACGCCCCCCCCCCCCACCCCCTTCCTCGAACTTCGGATTGTTTTCCCGTCTCTATAGGTATAAATGATTGACTTGATCGTCTCATTCTTTAGAGTCGCATCATAATCTTCATTATTGGATCGAAATACTTCCGAGAGAGCCTGCGGGGGGAAAGTAGGTGTACCTTTGTATCTCCTCTTTCTTTACCACCCGCTCGCTTTTTCTCTATCTTGTACGTGCTGTTTCTTGTAGCCCATGAATTGCATGCGTGAAATCTACATAGTTAGTTTCGGCCTTCGTCTCACGTAGATGGAACGTGGAGGAAAGGAAAAGTAGGGAAGGAACACAGGCGCAGTGTGGTTAAAGCGCACTGGGCCGGGACCAACACGTGATCGAGACGTCAGAGCGCGCGGTAGGTTTTAGTACTCCCGTTTAAGTTGTTCCGTTTGAAGCTCTAGTGCGAGCCGTCCGAACTGCGCCGAACAAGCGCACTTCGATTCAAGACAATACCTGTCACCAAATCCCAAAGTCTCTGCAGATCTCGTGTCTGCAGCAGGTCATGACGCAAAACGTCTCGTGTACGGCCCACACTGCTTCTGGCTTCACGGAGCGTTCGCTTACGAAGTTTTTCTTTTCTGCTCGAGAACTTAGTCTACATACTAGAACTGATGCCCCTATATGCTGTGTACTGCGGTGTATACGATTCTTTGTGCAGCTTAAATTAAGTGACGGCTGATTTGTTGCTCTGTTAGGACGTTTCGATCATAAGCGGTGCAGTTTCGCGACAGTGTGTTCGTTGCTGACAAGTAGAGCCAGTATGGCCAGTACAGTGTATGTTCTAATACCCGAAACCTTGTAGCGACTGCACTGGATAAACGGAGCACGGATTCTTCTTAGAAGC